AGAGACAATATTTTGTTTTGAACTACACCCAAGCCACACTGCACACCTCACCTTGTGCATGAAAAAGAGAATGATCTGCTGGGAGTCACACTGACATCATACCAGCTACATTACACCTTTTACTATAGTTTCAGTGTCTGTAGATTATGTCACAGACAAGCTATTTTAGCAACTGCATGTTATTAAAGTGGAAAGTGGAGGCTACATGTGTACTATATAGCCATAGACAAGATCCAAGACGGTCTATGATTCTATCATGTCATTAAACTAACGGAACATTAGGTAGTTCTCCAGGTGCCTTTTCTCTTTGTCTCTCTCTTTCTCTGAATGAGGGTAAACTGAATTAAGCCAAAAAAAATAAAAAAAATTTATAGTGAAATGAAATCAAACAATGTATTACATAATAGAGTAGAAAGATAGAGCTGGCAGTAGCAGCACCACAGACATGTGGAAGCTACAGTAGTTCAGCCATGAACAGAAGAGGTGGCTCAGGCATTAAGGTAACACAACATTTGTGAATAGCGGGAGTTTGTTGAAGGGGATGGCTTGTGGATAGTATACAAATCAGTTTACAACCCATCTGTGGTTAGGTTTAGACAGCAAAACCACGGGTTAAGGTTATGACTGTGGTTTTGACTACAGATTTATAAAAGACTTTGAAGTCACAGAGGACTTCTTCTAGGGCTGAGTGATATTTCTGCTAATTGTATCATGATAAAATATAGTATATCAATCAATTTTGTTAGCTATTGACCGTTTTTAATAGCTTATTTTTAATAAAGACCAGCAGAATAAAGGTACGCTTTGAATTTAGTCACTTGGCCCATTTATCAGGGGACACAGGTAATCATTTTAATGTTTACAGAAAAATAAATAAGGATAAATGAATTATTTCACCTTGATACACATTGAATAAAAAGACAGTGAGTAAAACCCAAAGGTGCCTGCTGAGTGACTGGGGTGAAGCTGCTGCACCACTCCAGGGTTCAGAGTGGCTGGACAGGATCGGGGGTCACCGTACAGGGATGCCACACCGGCCTCCGCACGCATCTAATGTCAAATCTGTCAACCCTCGGAGCTGATTACCATGAGGTGGACACAGAGTCGTAGGTGTTTTCAGACTGAAAAGCCTGCCTTGCATTGGGAAAAACCTGCCAGCCACAGAAGCAGAGACCCAGGCAGCCTCAGGAGATCTGCGCTGAGGCCACGAGGAGATCGAAGAAGGGCGAAGGGGCGCCATTATCAGGGGATATGATTGGTTGTTATGAGTCAGAAGGGGAACACATGCATGCAACTGAACTTTGCATTTAGGCACAATTGTTTTTTAACGCTATTGACGAAGTGTCCATCATCAGTATCGTTTTTGTTTCATTGCTTTGGCCTAACTTCTTCTATATTCACCACAATCCTTCCCAAGTGCTGTGAGTGCCTACGCATAACTATAGGAAATTGTCAGCGAGCATATTACTGATATGCTCACTAATGTAATTGTGACTAAACATAATGTTTCCTCATTATGCAGATTGAAAAAGAAATCGTTTCCTTCAAACACATGCTGCAATTTAATTTTATAGGAGCATCACTCCAGGAGACATGTGAAAACAATACGGGGATGTCCACGCTGCCACACTAAAGGGTGGATTTAGATTCGTCTGGTGATTCAAGAAGCCTGGGGGGTACGCTTGATCTTTCACTAACAGTCAAGGGAAACCAATAAACGGGGATGGAGGGCTCTGACTTTCTGCCTACCAGAGAATATCCGTCTTAGTCTGCTTTTCCCATTTCCACCTGGATAGAAAGGAACCTGCATCAAGATGTAATCCCACCTGAGTGTGTGTTTAAGAGAGAGCGACTATGCGTGTGTGTTATTTCTGCTCTGCTCTGCCCAGGCAGACAGCCCCCTAATGTCAGATGACTGAGCGCCACTACAAAGCAGTTGCTATGGTTACCAGCCAGGTTCTGTGTACATGGATACTCATCGCAATTTTGATCCGCAGTGAAGCACTGATGGGAGAGCAAGAGTCCCACAGAATCACCTACACACCCACACAGACGTACACGCAATCATGCTTAGACACACGATACATCATGCGTGTCGTGCATATGCGGGAGAAACACACATGAAGAGATGCTCATTCACCTTCACGGAGCGCGCTTCGGTACAAAACAGTATTGTGCTGCATATCATTAGGATGAGCACGTAAGCAAACACGGCCTGCTGGGAAGAATTATCAGCCCCACCAGAAGTAGAACAAATCACAGTAGGTGATACGCTGGGATATCTCCATGCCTAGAAACCCCTTTAAAGCAACCAGTGCCTTTAACTCTCCCTGACTGTCACAACCACTCTGTTATACTCTCCATCTGCCCATCTCTATATCCATGCTTCTGTGCTTTCTTTCCCCCTCTCTCTTACACACACAAATATACATATAGGGCAGATTGGGAGCAATCAGTCAGAGCAAAAGATGAAAGGGAGAGGGAACTGTGTCCGTGCCAGCAGAGCCGTGCGAGTGGGGAAGTGATGAAAGAGAGGCTCATTTAGTAAATTGACAGCTCCCTTCAGGATTCTTCATCTTCTTCACCATGAAAGGCCGGAATCCATCTAAACTCCTAGCTATTCTCACCAGGCGTGAGGAAACTGTCACATTCCAGCAAACATTAACAATGACGGTGTTAGTATGTTAGTTTGAATCCATCTCTCTCTCTCTCTACTTACTCCCACTGCGGCTTCATTAAGTCCACAGATGCACTGAGGATGTCTGTGCAAATCAGACCAACTGTTAATACTCTGACAAAAGTTCACTTGCAAAAGGAAGGCGAGAATACATCGAACGAACGGATGAAAACGATCGCCCTTTTCAGATAGAGGATATGTAACACTGCTGGTTTCATCATGCATGCAAGATTGGGCAGAACATCAAGCAATGTATACATATTAGGGTGCAACTCGAGAAAAGACTAGACCAGATCTAAACTTATAGCAAGGTTGTTAAACTGTGCAAGTAAGCCTGGTTCATTTATTATCTCAAAATAGCTGCAAATTCCATTCATGTGTTTCCATGTCCACGTGTGCAATCTAACTACTACTATGTCAGCAGTAAAACAAAAATATTCTGACAGCTGCGGTGGAGCTCAGGAGGAATATTTTAACTGCAGATAATCAAATGGCTCCGTATGTGACAGCTAACCTATCTGAGGTCGAGAAAAATACACAGCAGATCCTGTCTCCATGAGGGAGATATTTAGAATTATGAATAATTAATAACTGCAGTTGTTCCATGAGTGCAACTTTCTCACTTTGGAAACGCTCTTATAGATCTGCTGCTGTTTGATGCTGCAAGAATTTGATTTTGAACTCAGAGGGAAAACTCCTACAAACAACTTTTGTCGTCAAAAATCAGATTACATTGATTACTGGTGACTCTCACTGATTCATTACAGTCTGTCTTTATTGAAGAGAAGTTTTAATTTTACAGATATTGCAGCTTTTAACTAAGTTGTAGGGCAAAGTGAATGAGAAAGTTGTTTTGGAATGCAAACTGTATTCTGTGCACTCTGTGATGTTTTTGAACCAACATTGGCGGTAAGACACACCCCAACTTAGTGTCGCTTGGCCGTGCTTTTCTGTCAATGCAACGGCATGCAGTGAAGGCTTGTCCAGTGTCGAAAGTGATACAGAGATGCTACCAGGTCCAATCTAGTAAGACTGCGGTCAGAACATGTGCAGCAAATTTATAAGTGTGCTCATTCAGAGATAAAACCGACACGCTCAACTGTCATCAGAATCGTGGAAAGTAGTGCATAATGTTGTCCATTACATGAGCTAGATGTTTTACCTCAATCCATAAATCACAACACTGATCAAGACCAGACTCAGTGAAATCTTTACATAATTCAGGCAGCTAAGAGAATGGATCTAGCAATTATGGGATGCGTGCTGTTTATAGCTGACTGCCGCTCAGTGGAGCTAAGAGGCAGACATCTTGCTAATCTGAGAAGAAGAGCGCATCAAACATTGTGCTGATGTAGAGTCCGTTTTTCATTTTAATAATGCATTTTACTAAAGTGATGTAGTTGCCCAAAGCAGCACATGATAGAAGAACGACTTCTGCGGTTCAATCAAATTCCTACAGTGTTATTTGTACAACGCACTGTGTCCACTTTGGAAATAGTTCTTTTGGATTATGTATATAAGTTAATGAAGACCTCACACTGCGGCTAAATCTACTTTAATCAGCAAACAGAATTAACTGTGATTATGTTGGAACAAGCCGAGTCTCAGCACAGCATCATAGACATTTATATAAGTTAGACCACTGCAGATACATCAGGATTTGGCCGATAGTTGTCGAGTGCAGGAGAAATTCTGGAGGGAAGAATGAGTGATGAAACAGAAAGGAGGGTCAGCAGCGGAGAGGCGCAGTAACTCATAGTAGGAAAAAAGCCACAGCCAAAGCCTCTTACCTATTGCACAAACACCACATATGCTACCTCTTGTACTTGAAAAATAAACCCCCCTCACACACACATAAGCCTGGACATGCACACACAAAAATAAACACAAACACACACACACACACACGTTGAGCTGGCAGAGGACAGCAGAGTGAGCTACAATGTGCCGCACGGAGGCCACTGCAGCACAGAGAGGGCTGGACAGTGCCAGCCAAATAGCCAACTGAGATTCAACAGGGACCGAGCATCCGCTAGCTGCTGTGGGGATCAAATTAATTGCCCCACGGTATGTCTCCAGTGGGACCTGCACAAAACAGGTGAGTGAATGTGTACATGGCAGTGGATTATACGGTGGATTATTCTGAGAGCCAACTTGGGTGTGAACACTAGTTGCAATCTGTTCGACTGAAGAAGGACCAAACTGGTGCACGTATTGTGTTGTTGGTTGGCCAAATTGATTAGAGTCCTGAAAGTGCTGATGGATTTGAGTCTGGATTTGGGGGTTTGAGATATTCTTATACACTAGAAAAGGGAAAACTTACCAGAACTCTGCCCGTGAGAGTCTGAGCGGAGATCATGACACCGGCCCAGTCTTTGACTGAAGTCATCCATCCCACTTCGCTGGCTGGTGCCTCCTCCTTCTCATCAGGACCCTTTAGTGCCCTGTCTGCTGGCTGGTTATTGGCTGGGTTGTTCACCTTCTGAGCCTCCTAGAAGAAATGCAAAAATATGGGTAAGAAAATGGACAAAAGAGGATGCAAAGGCATTGTCGGCTACAGGTAAGACCCCTGGAACCACCCCCAGTATGTCTAAAAAGAAACAACAAATGACACTTTTCAGTCACTACTGTAAAACAATATCTCTTTTGGGACGCCCCGGTAGCTCAACCAGATAAGACGGCGTCACATGAACAGGGTCTACAGTTCCCAACACAGCGACTGTGAGTTCGAATCCCGCTCACAGCGCATTCTTCTCCCCTCCTTTCCTATCTTTCTCCACTGCTCTACTAAAAATAATAAAGGCAAAAAAATAAAAAATAAAAAAACAATATCCCTTTATGGTTTCTGTGCTTCTCAGCTTATGCACGTCCACATTCATGACAAGCTGCAAACCTCTGAAGTGGAAAAGAGGACTGTCATTGCAGCCATTGTGCCATGATGGCATCCATCTGCTTTAAGCTGAATATGTGTATTCAAATGAGTTAGGTAATGGCAGACTGTATATATAATCGCTCTAGTTGTTTTGCACATACGCTGCTTTAAGTTAATTGTTCCTGGGGGTAGAGAATATAAGACTGCTGTTCTCATGCAGGCCCTTTAACGTGACTTCTTGTGTCCAACTGAGTGAGCGGCGTTGCATGGCAGTTCATTGACATGCTTTCCTTGGCACAGTCGCTGCATGCAGCTGTTCCTCTCCAGCCATTCACTCACTCCTGATTTGACACACCAGGCGCTCAGCTTCCCTGTCCTCCTGGCAGAAAATGGAAGTGAGTAGATTTCTTTGTGTTTTACAGCCTTTGAGGCAACAAAAATCCTACAATTACATGCATTACACATACACATGTACAAAAATGTAAAGCAAAGGTTTGTGTGCGTCACATTCAGCCTCATAAAACCTTGGGGTTACGCCTGGCAAACTGCGTCCACGTAGAATCCCTGGAATTGCAATAACTTTTAAGCCCCTTGATGGCGACCCATTGCTCCATTCCAAGGAGACAGGCTCATATTACCTCAGGGTACATATGTAGCGCTTTGAACACATTTTACAACGTCCCTCCTCAAAGTGACATCCGACAAGTAGCCATCAAAGCAGATTATGTGCTATGTCAACAAAGTGAAGTTTGTTTCCCAGTACTGTACATGTCAGATGTCTACAGTTTGTTTGGATGACCTCACAACGTCCGAAAACGATGACGCAGGTCAAAACGGTTTGTGTTTACTGTGAGTTCGTTTTGGCTTTTACGCACTTTAATTCCGGGAACTGTTTTGGAGCAATAAAGAGATGGAAGCAAAGGCCAGGTGACCACTGGGGTGACCAATATGTGCCCACATGCAACGCAAAACAAACCAGACTGCAACTTGAGTATTTCTGCAGGGCTAAAGAGCAGTGCTATTACAGATGAGCCCAAGAGAGTGCTCTGTCCATTTCAAAAGGATTGTCTGGTCAAATTGGATTACATTTGATAATGATATGGCATGGACACAGCTGCCATTTTCCTAATTTCATTCCAACCCCATAACAATGCCAATAAACTGGCCCTAAAAAAGCCTGACTTAGTCATCAGATCATTATCTGCTCCTGCCGTTGGGCCTCTCAGTACTCCAGTGGGTAATTCAGTTACTTATGCTTTATATACTCATTAAATGACTTAGTGTTAGGAGACTCACAAACTGTACAAATGCCTATCATGAGTGCGATTTCAGGCATTTAGTTTTGTCTTTGAAAGTCACACGAATCTAGGGCCTGATTAGAAATGACAGCAGCGATTATTGGACGCAGACTTAGCATCGGAGGTTTGAGGATTAAATCATTGTGTGTGTGTGTGTGTGTGTGTGTGTGTGTGTGTGTGTGTGTGTGTACAAATCCATTAACCCCCATACGGAACAGGTGAGAACACTTTAAGGTAACAAAAAGGAGTGGATAAGTAAGAGGATAGAAGGATCTAAAGCCTGATATACAGACAGGTAACAAATTAAAAGAAGACCAACAACACTAAATAATTAAGGTAATGGGCCGCTACTTTCTGGCTAAACAGATTCAATGCATCTCGGAATAGATTCTCCAAGCATCTGGAACTTTTCTGGGGGGATGATCACCATTCTTTCAAAAGAAATTCCCTCCTTTGGTGTTTTGATGATGCTCATAGAGCGCTCTGTTGGCACAAAAATCTCCAATAGGTGTTTATTCTGAGTGAGATCTGGCCATTGCAGATGATTCACATCATTTTCACACTCATCGAACCATCCAGTGGCCCCTTGTACCTTATGGATGGGGGCATCGTCATCCTCTAAGAGACCACTCCCATCAGGATAGAGAGGTTTCATAACAGGATAAAGGTGATCACTCAGAACAACTTTGTATTGATTTGCAGTGACCTTTACAACTAAGGAAATAAGTGGATTCAAACCATGCCGGCAAAATACCCCCTTGAGCCTAACAAAGCCAAGAGATCCCATCTAAGTGGGGTCAAGCATTCAGGTTTTTCCTTCAATTTGTCATCCATCTGTAGATTATATCTTGGTGCAAAGTCAAATGCTATGTTAGCGCGAACAGGTTAATTACCTTCCACTCCCAGCTTAAACCAAGAGGTATTACCAAGTTTATCTTTAAACTAATTTCTAAATTAATTTTCACTTAAACTAGTTCCTATCTCTATTTTAATCTAACACTAAACACCATCTGCATTTCAAGCTCCTACAAAACCTTCCAGTGTATGATGACACGCTGCTGGATGGACACTGGGGAATTTGGTAAACTGTAAATAGTTATGTATATATATCTAACTGAATACGCAGGCTGCATGACTAAGATTCTGTCTGCTCCAAAGCTTTCCAACCACCTCCCGTCCATCATCCTTGAGTACTCACTTGACTACGTAGCCGGCATACGTCTTGCCCGTCACATGGTGCAAATACTCAGCAAAGTGTGCATGCATGCGGGTCGCCGTGCACAGGGACGTCTAAGGTTTCACTCAGACTGGCTGTGTGCCTGCACGATAGCACTCTAGACATGCTAGTCTGTCCCCATCAGTTACTTAAACAGAGGCCCACCAACCTTACACCCCAGACGCACACACACACACACATATACCACGGCAGGAACACATAACATTTCACTAGAACTACTGTATGTCATGCAAATCACATCTCACTGTGAGTCACGCTACTTGTTTCGAGCTCTCCTTGCAACTGTTTCCTCCAGATTTGCTTTCAAGCATGCTGTAAATGCCTTCAGACATCTGTCCTGTCGCAGCAATTTTGTAGTAAATACTGCTGACTGACTGACAGGTTTCAAGTGCAGCAGCACATGGGTACACCAAACAACAATATCTTTGTGAATTTATAAAAAAAATAAAAAAATTTATATATATTTTTTTTTTTATTTTTTTATTTTTTTTTTTCAATATCTTTGTGAATTTATAAAAAAAATAAATAAATATGCACTAGTTTGACCTCTATTGTTAAGATAGTTTTAGTATTATAAGTAATCTGGATTTCAGGATTATTTCTTTTGCATTTGCTTTAGATAATATACTGTTGACCTCTACGGTGCACCTGAACATAAACACTATGATGCCACATGCAGCAGCAGTGATGTTTTTCTCTGTGTGGTGGAGGGGAACGCATGAATAATGGATGCAGTCGCAAATTGATGGCTGGGCGGACCAAAAGGAGATAATGTAAACAAGGAATTTCTTCTACTTCATTTGAGTAGCCGGCGGTAAGCTTAAGCAGAGGGGGGAGGGGGGAGGGGGAAAAAAAGCACTGAAGCAGACTGTTATGGGAGAATCCATCTGCCAGCTATATATACACACCTGTGATGTCAAACCGAGAGGGAGACAGGCAGAGAGATGACAGACAGGCGGAGAGAGGGAGCATCACGAGTCAGTAAATATGTTTACAACCAAACTCAGAAAAAAAAAGGGACAAAATGATGTGATGGAAAGCAAATGGTGAAAAGAGGTAAAATAAATATCATATCAACGGATGCACAGTTAAACAGAGTCAGCAGTAGACAAATTACGAGAGGCAGTTAATTCTAACAACACGTCAGCGCTTTAGTTTTATTGAAAAGGCATTCATAATATTTTAAGAAAAATTCAAACCACATTTACAACATTTTTATGGATGCTTTGCTTCAGCAATAGGCACTGAATGGCTATACAATCAGTAATTACCTCTTTGTATAATGTTTTTTTTATTGTCACAGTGGAGTCTACCATTACTGTGCTGGATTACCATTATTAATTTCAGCTTATCAGCCACACTGCTTGCTGCTCCCACAGCCGTATCAGAAATGTAATTTACCACTAATGCAAACATTTCACACTTATAGATGGGACAAAAATTAAAGGAAAAATCGAAACCCTTGACCTTGACAGTGAGGGGATCCTAGGCTCTGTTATATTGTGGTACGCATGGTTTGGACCAACTTGTCCCCCGAGAGGTAAAGGTCACTGCAAATCAATGCAAAGCTGCTCCGAGTGATCACCTTTACCCTGTGATGAAACATGTCTATCCCGAGCTTCTAGGATGACAACGCCCCCGTCCACAGGCCAGTAGAGGTCACCGAATGGTTTGAGCTTGAAAGCGATGTAAATCACACCTTTGCAGTCCCCTAGATCGATGTGTTAGACGGCACTCTCCACCAACCTTACCAAGACACCTCATGTTGTTTTTTTTTTTTTTGCCTTGAATGTGTCACCTCTCTGTAGTTCCACTCGCAAAGCTGTCAAAACACATGGTTGTGAGGCAATAACAGGAACTTGCAAACCATTTTCAGCATTTCTTTTTTGTCAGCGGATCCCTTTTAAGCATCGCAGGCAGTAACGGCACAAGATTGAGCAGCCACGGTGAGCTGTTAGATGAGCTGCAGGAAACAGCCTGCACACCTCCAATTTTGCAGTAAAATAAATAACTTCACCCTGCCGTCGTTTGAAAAACTACTCGCGGTATGCGCAGCGTGAAATCAGCCTGTGGTTGAAATTGTA